ACGGCCTCGCAGACGTCGCTCTTGCCCCGACCTTCGATCCAGTTGACCGCCGCGGGCTTCTTGTCCGTGCAAAAGTTGCCGCTCAGCGAGAGTATCTCCATGTCAGCGAATTGGCTCTGCACCGCGTGCAGGGACTTCTCCGTGCCCTTGGACAGCATATTCATGCCCATGGCGTCGCCGGTTTTGGCGACGAAGCGTATGAACAGGTGACGACCCGCGATTCGCACGTGGATCTTCGTTAGACGGGCGAAACGACTCGTCTGGTCGAAGCTGCTCTTCATCCGTTCGAAGTTCTCCGGCTGCTGCATCCACGCCATCGCCTCGCTCGCCCGCATTATATTCGGGAAGCGGACGACCGGACCCCTCGTCATGCCTGTCGATAGGAGCAATCGGTTATATTCGCCCTGTCGTCTGGCCATCCTCGGGAAAATCCTACACGAATCCGGCTGATGACATACGTTGGGCTTGCATTGGTATTGCAGAAGAAGATGCGAGGGAATGGTCGCTTGATTATTATTATTATTATTATTATTATTATTATTATTATTATAGTCCGATGAATTAGCAGTTGTGTCAATCGGAGGTGGCACGTATCCCTTGGAGCTCTGTGCGCGCGACGATGCTTTCGGTCAAATTCTCACTCTCCACGTTGAGTCGCGCCGAGACGACATTGGTTATTAAAGATAATTATCGTCGCGTTAGTTAAACGATGCTTTTACAAATGCTTAAAGATATTTCGATCGACATCCGTCTCGCGCAACGCCTCTAAAATTAGCATAATCGCTTAAACAAACGCGCTCTTACATTCCCAACATTTTAAGCTCGCGCAATTAGCAATTGGAAAACGGCTGATTTTAACGATTTTAACTCCTTATTTCTCACTTGGGACATTACCATACTAATACTATATTAATATAATGTTTATAGGATCATAATAAAGGCGTCTCCGCGTCTTCGTGTCGCAGCTACAAACGACTATTTTGTAATTCAACTATTTACAAATCATCGATGAAACACACAATTATTTTAATTTCATTGCCTTAATATTTCGTGGAAATATTCGTTTCATAAGAGAATTTTTTCAAATATTACATAAAATGTCTATTTAAATGATAAATAAGACACAATAAACGGCTTCCGTTTGATCATTAAATTGAAATTTAATAAAATTTCCTTACAACCGCGATTCTAATAATATTACGATGGAAAATAAATGTCCGCCTTAGACGTCGGTCACGTCTAACGTCAGGTGATTACTTCGAAAGGTCGCGCCAAGCTAAAAAATTCATTGTCTCGTCAATACTTACGATGCTTTATTGAAATGAAAGGCGGAAATAACTGACACAATATTAGCAATAACCAGGAAAACGACGACGACGACGACGACATCATCAGTAATGGCAATAATTATAATACTACGAAAATGATAAAATCTTCTTAAAATTTTACAAAATAATAAGCATGATTCGTATGTGAGGTGAGTGCGTGGCGGTGGGAGAGAGAGAGAGAGAGGGGGGGGGGTGTGGAACGAAGGGATTTGTTGGATGAAAAGTCGGGGTTAAAAGAAGGATCGTACCGTCGGCGA